TCTTCTTCTTCTTCTTCTTCTTCTTCTTCTTCTTCTTCTTCTTCTTCCTCCTCCTCCTCCTCCTCCTCCTCTTCCACTCCACTTCCTCTTCTTCTTCTTCTCCTTCTCCTTCTCCTCCTCCTCCTCCTCCTCCTCCTCCTCCTCCTCTTCTTCTTCTACTTCCTCCTCTTCCTCTTCCTCTTCCCCTTCTTTTCTTCTTCTTCTATCTATTCTCTTCCTCTTCTTTTCTTCCTCTTTTCTTCCTCTTCCTCTTCTTTTCTTTTCCTTCTTCTCCTTCTTCCTCCTCCCTTCTCTTCTCCTTCTCCTTCTCCTTCTCCTTCTCCTTCTCCTTCTCCTTCTCCTTCTTCTTCTTCTTCTTCTTCTTCTTCTTCTTCCTCTTCTTCTTCCACTTCCACTTCCACTTCTTTCTTCTTCCTTTTCTCTTCCTCTTCTTTTCTTCTCCATCTCCTTCTCTTTCTTCTCCTCCTCCTCCTTCCATATCCATCATTGGATGTTGGCGATCGTGTTGGCCACTATTTGATCAACAGATGCACAAAAATGTGCTGCTGAGTTTTGTCCAAACCTGTCCTTTAGGTTTTGAAGCTATGATGTTCTTCTTCTGCTACACCTCGTTAGCCTTCAATCTTTCCCTGGAGGATTAAGTGAAGTAGGCTGTATTTTTCTGGGTGTCGCATCGCATGTCTGAAATATTCTAACTTTTGCTTTTTAATGGTTTCGATGATTTCCCTTGGCTTTCCAGGTGGCTTATCCCCCGCTCCTCATTTCTGATTTTGTCAAACCAACTCATATGTAATAGCTGCCTGTAAATCCACATTTCAAATACTTCTAGTCTCTTCCAGTGGCTTTCCATCCAGAGACCAATTCTCCACTCCGTAGAGCAGGATAGAAAAGATGTAGCGTCTGACAAGCCTGATTTTTCAATCTTAGGCTTATGTCGTGACTGCAGAAGAGCTTTTTTTCATTTTGAAGTATGCTGTTTGAGCTTTCCCTATATCTTTGCTTTTTCCCCTCAGTGGCCATGTACCAGCTTTCTTGCAAATTAGAACGGAGGCACCGGAACCGTTGGCCTGAGGTAAATGCAACCTGGGGGATGAGCAAATGCTGGGACAGCCAGCTCAACCTTCTTCCTCAACCAAGGTTATTGTGGCCTCATTATGCAACAGCACATCTGGCCTGAAACCCCTGGGATTCTGCAAATCTCTAATATAGCAATAAGCCTTGCGCTGCCCAGATATACATTTTTTCAGATTAACTCTCATGCAGCTGGTCTTCTCAGCTGCATTTTTTTGTTTCTTTTTAAAAGGCCATTCTATCTATCTATCTATCTATCTATCTATCTATCTATCTATCTATCTATCTATCTATCTATCTATTTCTATCTCTATCTATCTGTCTATCTATCTCTATCGCTATCTCTATTTATCTATCTTTATCTTTATCTATCTTTATCTTTATCTATATCTATATCATCTGTATCTATCTATCTATCTATCTATCTATCTATCTATCTATCTACATATATAAGCAAAATACCCCTCATGCATCATCACAAAATCTCCAGAACTGTAAAGTCTACAATCTTGAAATTTGGCATTTGGCCATGTTCCTCTTGGCTTCTAGAGGCTCACTAAGAAAGGATTTTTCAAAATGACCATCAGAGTGTTAGTATTTCGTGTATTATTATTATTAACATGCTCTGATGCTAAGGAGTTCTATTCCCCTTCCCCCCAACCTGGAAAGAAATCTCTTCCAAATGCAAAACACAAGCAGAGGAGTTTCAGTTTCACAGCAGCACCAAGCAGCTTTAGTACAGAACAGTTGAGCTAAGCCATGCCCAAGCTCCTTGCTGTCTCCTTCTTGCTCACACAGGGAATACTGTTTCAGTTTCCAAACAGCCCTCAACTTTCTCACACACTGACAGGATGCTAGCCAGATGAATACCGATGGATGCTGGTAGGAAGGGGCAGAATTTTGTTTTCCTTATTTTCCTCCCCCAAAACTAAGCCAGACCACATAGTTTTGTAGCGAAGCACGGGTACTGAGCTAGTAAGCCTATATTTAGGAAATCATTTTGCAAAGCGCAGAAGCCGATACCTCTGACAAACCAGATTTGTTTAAGAGTTATGGCCTGTGCACTCTCAGACCAGTGGACTTCAACTCCCAGAATTCCTGAGCCAGCATTTCCAACAATGGTTGGAAACCAATCAAGGATAGAAGCAACCTGGAATGAAGGAGGAACTTCCTAACAGTGAGGACAATTAACTAGTGGAACAACTTGCCACCAGAAGTTGTGGGTGCTTTATTGTTGGAGGTTTTGAAGAAGAGACTGGATAGTCACTTATCTGAAATAGTATAGGTAGGATTTCCTGCTTGAGCAAAGGGGCTGGACTAGAAGACCTCCAATGTCCCTTCCAACTCTGTTATTCTAAATTCTAAATACTTTTATTTCCAGCATCAGGCTTGAGCCCCTGTCATTCTCACTTCAAAATGAGGCTGTAGTTATTCAGAAACCCCCCTATTTCTCCTGAAATAAACAATCCAGGATTATTTCAGTGGCCGTGACTAAAATGGTGCCACCTTTGCAATGTTCATAGTCCACAGATGACCGACCAGCGACACACAACTCAAGAACCGATGCCAAAGACACAAGGAGCTGAGGGCTCCGTGACCTCACACTGCGGAGGCCATCTTAGGTGCCTTCATCTGTCTGGTGGATCTTTTGAGATCTTTTAAAACTCATCAAGGTTTAAAAAGAAAAGATCAGGCAGAGTTTTGTTCCTGTGGTTGAATGGTGTGTGTGTGTGTTGTGCAAATCTCATTGTTTGCTCCAGAATAAACACCATCCACACATTCCTGGGCTGGTTAAAGGCGCAGAAAGATCTTTGTTTAACAACAAACATTATGGCCGGAGATCAATTCTTCTTTGCTTGCCATTAGGTGTCAGGGCAGTAAATGGAAATTATTAGATAAATGATTTTAAAAAGAGATGCTGCTTCTAAAGAAAGGAATCCTTGTCAAATGGAGGAAGAAAAGCATCTCCGTGGAGAGAGAGAGAGAGAGAGAGAGAGAGAGAGATGGGTTGCTGGACAGCGTCTTCTAAGGGAGCCTGGCCTCCACAAGACGTCGGTTGTTTGCTCTCTGCCGAAAGGAACACAACTGCTTTGGTGTGGCCTGACAGACCAAAAGCCTCCCAGAAAAACCTGCCTGCATTTTCAGAAGGACCCAAGAAGGTGTGTGTGTGTGTGTGTGTGTGTGTGTGTGTGATCAGGGAACACAAGGCATCGTTCTTTACAGCAATTCCTGGTCTCTGGAAAATAAGTAAAAGCAACAGAGAGAAGCGAAAGGAACAGGGTGAAGGGCTGCTCTTTCAAACTGTTTTGATGGACATGATGAAAAACCCAGTGTATGTATGGAGAAGAAAGGAAGGAAGGAAGGAAGGGGGAGGAGAGAGAGAGGAAGGAAGGAAGGAAGAGGGAGGAGAGAGAGAGAAAGAAAGGAAGGAAGGAAGGAAGGAAGGAAGAGGGAGGGAGGAGAGAGAAAGAAGAAAGAAAGAAAGAAAGAAAGAAAGAAAGAAAGAAAGAAAGAAAGAAAGAAAGAAAGAAAGAAAGAAAAGATTTTTAAAAGATGTTGGATAACCATTTGTCTGAAGTGGTGTAAGGTTCCCACTGCTAGGTTGGCACAAGCAATGGGAGCTCACTCCATTATGCGGCACTAGGGATTCAAACCACTGAACTGCCAACCTTTCTGATCAACAAGCTCAGCGTCTTAGCCACTGAGCCACCGTGTCCCTGTAAAGGACCGGTTTACTATGGTCTAAAGTTAAAATACCACTCAGTGGGTGATCATTTCAATTATATAACTAATTTAGTTAGGGGGTTTTGTATTATTCTTAACAGCATTTTATTATATTTTTTATAAAGATCTATGGGTGAATTAAAATGCAATTATTGTTAATAGGTAGTTCCCATTTTTAAAAAGTATATTTACCTAAGACGTTTCATTGGAATCCTGAAAGACGTAGGGCTATTTACATCAGAGAGAAACCGGCTGAGACAGGGGGAGGAGTCAAATGGGGAATTAGTCTGGAATCTCTATATGGGCACAAGAAGAGGTTGAAGTGTGACCCGCCATGAGTGATATTGAACCTTATCTAGTCTTACCTGGCTAAAAACCATCAGTCAGAGAAGATTCCTGTATTATAGGCTTAAAGCAATGAAACAGCAAATTCAACACTTCATGGGTAGAGCTGATTATTCGTGCCTAACATTTAGTCCCTTCCCGACATGCACCTTTTTCAATCTTGAATTCAGAGAGAAGGATCCAGGGGTGTAATTCAACCGGTGTAACAACCAGTTTGGTGAGCATGCCCTTCACACATGTGCAGTAAAATCTCTCTCTATAAAAGCGAAATACCACTCACACATCATCACAAAATCTGCAGAACCGCAAAGCCTACAAACTGGAAATTGGGCACCTATGTTCCTCTTGGCTTCTAGGGGCTCACTAAGAAAGGATTTTTTGAAATGACCACCAGAGCCATTAGTATTTCGTATATTATTATTATTAACATGCTCTGATGCTAAAGAGTTCTACTCCCCCTCCCCACCTGGAAAGAAATCTCTTCCAAATGCAAAAGACAAGCAGAGGAGAGGAGTTTCAGTTTCAGTTTCACAGCACCGAGCAACTTTAGTACAGAACAGTTGAGTTAAGCCACACCCAGGCTCCTTGCTGTCTTCTTCTTGCTCACTCAGCAAATACTGTTTCAGTTTCCAAACAGCCCTCAACTCTCTCACACACTGACAGGATGCTAGCCAGATGACTACCAATGGATGCTGGTAGACAGAGGCAGCATTTATTTTCCCTTATTTTCCTCCCCCAAAACTAAGCCCAACCACATAGTTTCGTAGCAAACCACGGGTATCCAGCTAGTTCAATATATATTCAACATTCAAAATATATTCAAAATATAGTGTCCATCTTGTAATCGTTCCTTGCTGTTCTCCCCTGTCTACAAAAGGCCTAAGTCCCTTACAGTCAGTTTTGTAGTTGTGTATTTCCTCAACCCCAACCCCAACCTTCCACTCTTCTTTAGAAGGACTTCTATTTGGGGAGAGACGAAGAGAAATATTGAGGCCGTGAGAGGCCCATGGGCCAGCCAGATAAATGCTATCTGAGAAGCTCCCCCACCCAACATCCTACGGGGACAAAAAATTAAAAAAAAAACAAAACAGAGCCAGGTGCACTTCTGCCAAAATCAAATTAGCCACCAGATGCCACATCCAATTGTAGTAAATTGATGGGCGAGTTTGCAACGTCTATAGTAGATCTTACAAGAAAGGTCAACGCGCGGAGAGATAGACAGACAACAGGCTGGGCTTATAATGGAGCTGCTGGGACAATAGCAAAGAGCTTGGAAATTCAATCTGGTCCCTCCGAACGGCGAGAGAATATGGTTATCAGGAAGTAGCATAAGTGCCTTCGTGGTCCAGCCCTTTCCATTTCTTGAGACGTTGACGGGGAATCACTAAAAACATTTCACATTGAAAGGAAGAGAGAAAATGTAACACTGGCACATGTATACCTGGAGCACGTGTCTAGGCACACTCCTTAAACCACAGGTGCTATTCAGCTTGTTCGGACCGGTTCTAGAGAACTGGTAGCAGAAATCTTGAGTAGTTCAGAGAACCAGCAAATCCCGCCTCTGACTGGCCCTACCAACCCCATCTCTTCTCTGCCTCCCATTGAGTCCCAGCTGATCGGCTGGGTTTTCTTTGGTTGCCCTGCCCAGGAGAACGGAGCTGGAAAGCAGGTTAGTGGGGTGGGGAGGGAAGGGGGATTTTGAAGTAACTTTCCCCCAGGAGTGGGGAGAGAATGGAGATTTTACAGTATCCTTTCCCACCGAGCTACGGCCACCAAGCCATGCCACACCCACCAAACCACACCCCCAGAACTGGTAATAAAAAAAAATGCATCCCACCACTGCATTAAATACTCCTTGTTCCAAAAGAGGAGAAAATTAGAGTTTTCGCACAAGAGAGGGCTGTTGTTTTTGCCTCTCTTTGGGTAACAAGC